ATAACCTGAGCCGAAGGCAGACGCTTAACGACTGAGCCACCCAGGCGCCCCTAGAGGGCTTTTATACTCCTGTTTTACAGAGAAGAAAACTGAAGCTCAGAGTTCGGGGCATGGTGAGAAACTAGTAAGCTTAGAACTCAGGCACAAATTGGTCCTCAAAACATTTTCTTAATGAAAATACATTTTTTTTTACTTATTTATTTTTTAGACAGAGAGACAGCGAGAGAGGGAACACAAGCAGGGGGAGTGGGAGAGGGAGAACTGGGGGAGTGGGAGAGGGAGAAGCAGGCTTCCCACCGAGCAGGAGCCCGATGTGGGGCTCAATCCCAGGACCCTGGGATCATGACCTGAGCCGAAGGCAGACGCTTAACTGACTGAGCCACCCAGTTGCCCTGAAAATACATTTTATTATTTTATTATTTTTATTTTATTTTATTTTTATTTTTAGATTTTATTTATTTGACAGAGAGAGAGAGCAAAAGTGGGGGGGCAGAGGGAGAAGCAGGCTCCCCACTGAGCAGGGAGCCCGATGCGATGCGGGGCTCAATGGACCATAGGATCATGACCTGAGATCATGACCTGATCATGACCTGAGCTGAAGGCAGCCGCTTAACCGACTGAGCCACCCAGGCACCCCTGAAAATACATTTTAGACAAAAAAAAAATATTTCACAACAGTTTTCAATGTTTCTCAGAGTAAAAAATATAAATTTTCTTAATATAGTCTAAATCACAACCAAAAAGATAATTTAATGTGAGTCTGGAAGTATTTTTCTATTAGAAAGTCACTTGATATTAATTGTTTTTGTATGTTTTTGCAATTTAGCAACTATAAACTATTGCTCAGTGAGAATCACTCCACGGTAAAAATTTGTTCCAGTTACCAAGTGGACACCAAGCTCCTTGCTTTGATATACTTACCTGTTAAAGAGTCTCGTGATTTTTATTCATTGGGTGACATTGTTGCAAATGGATGCAGTCTGGATGGGAGGATTATTAACGTGCTTGCGGCGGTGAGGTCGGTAAGTTAAAGCCTCAACAAAGCCACCCTCTGTTTGGTGGGCAGTCCTATCACTTCCCTTCTGTTTGGAAAGTCATAACCAGCTGGAGTCAATTTTCTTGATCCATAGTAACTTGAATTAAGAAAATGGTGGCACTTCTCATCAATGTCAAAGGAGCAGTTTATCTGGGAATGAATAGCAAAATAAAATTGAATTTGAATGTTAAATGCAGCACACTCCTAAATGATCTACTAACTGTGAGAGCTTTGCATACTTCGGTGAAACAAAGACACAAGTGGAAAGGGTAAATTCATGGACTTGAAGATTTGCATGGAGTTTCTCGAGGGGATGTAAGTTGGAGGACTCATGGAATCCACTCATGTGTGTGCTCAGAGGTGTCCTGAGATGGGGGTGGGCATACCCATCGTGTGGCTGGCGTGACCTCGTGCAGGCATCATGGGGCCCTGGGGAGCCTCTCAACAACCCGTACACCATCACCTCCCTCTTACGCAGTTGCTGCAGTGAGTTTCAAACTTTGTTGGACAGACTGGTCACTTGGCAGACATTCAGAGGTAGATCTCAAAAGTACAGTTTCACAGACACAAAAAAGTACATGGAGAAAATTAAAGGGGCAGGACCAATTCCTCAACATGGGGAGTGAGGATAGTCAGAGACCACATACAAAAGCGTGAAATGTTGTAAGTAATTGCTCATTGCTTTTCTGTATTAAATGACAGTGTCGACTCTCCCTGTTGACAGGCCTATGATGGTGGAGGCCACGACTGCTTTATTGTCCACCCTAGCCCCAGCCTAGCCCAGTGCCCAGCACAGTGAGCATTCAATGTAATTCAGGACAGAGGAATAAATTCCCTCTGTGACAGTCTTGAACAATACGAGGAATCACTTTCTAGGCGATTTAGCTTCAATCTTACATAAAAGCAGGATATTATCTCGATTTCCCTGCAGTTCTATACAATGCCATTATATTACAATGTAGTTAGAATTTTCTCAAACTCAGTATAAGCAAAAGCCTGCGACAGCATTTTCCACTTCCCCGGCCATGAGTCTGGCACGCTCTTTTGTAGGAGGACATGACTTCTTGTGTGTATGTCTTCTACCATTTTGCTTCCATCCCTCTTACATTTCCTTTTCTTCACATTTTTGTTTAGCCGTTTCTCTCTTCCTTCTCACCTTCTCTCTCTCTTCACGTTAGAATCCTTTTCATAGAATTCTCTTGTGTGCTGGGATATGTCAGACCTCTGTCATACTCTGGCTGTCCTTTCCTCTGACTTTCTTTCTAGATCCTGCTTTTGTGCAGGCAGCTGCAAGTCTTCCTTCAGCTCCTTCCCCTGGAGCTCAGCTCTGAAGGAATGCAGTGGTGACAGCAGCGTAAGGGGGCAGCCAGCTGACCAGGCTTGGGCCACTGTTACGCAGCTGGCAGAGGGGCCTGCTCTTCCCTTTGAGAACTCGCTGTGGGGACAGAAGGACCTCTGAGTTTACTCCCACTTCCATGATCCTCTTACCCCCATGTGGGTCAAGCTAGACGGTGTGTCAAGGTGGCCTCCCGTACGTCCCTCATTTGGTCTTCACCACCTTATTCCCACGGAGGCAGCAAAGAAGGCATTGGATCCTACCTGTGCCAGCAAGCTGAGGATGCTGAGGTGTAGGAAGACTGAGTTCTTCCAGTCACATATACTCCATGCCAGGCTCTGCGCTAAGCCATGGGCGTCACAGATGTTGAAAATATATTTTCCATCCTTAGTGAGTCCACCTAGATGCCATACGGGGGCTTGTCATGGAGCATTGTTTTTGACATGTTGAAAAGACCCCACAGTCTTAAAGCACATATTTTTGTCTCTCCCTTCAATCAAAGTGTGTAACTTACAAATTCAACTAAAGACACCTAATTTAGAAATAGATGCTTTTAAAACCTTCAAATATATATTAGTGAATAGCAAATATATTGCTATTTTGATTTTTTAATTTGCTGTTTAAAAGGTAAACATTTGAATGTTTCCACCAATAAACATTTATGTACCTCTACAACTGTAGGTGAAGAATAATGATTTCCTTCGATTTCTAAGGTTGGAGAGCCAAAATACTTTACAACTTCAGACCGGAGAAAAGGCCAGAGGTGTGAGGTGAAGCTCTATGATGAGACAGAGTCTTCTTTTGCAATGATATGGTAACTTCCTACATCTGTTCCAAACCGTGAAATCCCTGCTGTTAGCACCAAGACAGAATATTTTTATTTTATGAAAAAGATGATGGATTTCATAGTAGGAGAGGAATAATGATGGAAGAGAAATCATTATTAAAAAGGAAACCTTGCTCTTGTACACTGAGCGTTACAGTCTGTGCTGTAAGATTACCTTAAAATGAGCTCTTTGGACAGCACAGGATTATTTGGATGGACTCCACGGTGACTGGTTCATTCCTGTCCTCTGCTTTATAACAGTGTGATTCATTAGGTCCCATTGGTAATGAACCAGCCAGATTCTCTGTGATTGCTGGGGTAATGCCCTGGAGTCAGGCCACAGGAATATGGTGGAAAAATATCCTGAAGCACCGCAGGGTAGAACATGGCATTGTTCAGACTCCAGATTTGAAGTGAACTTGAAACAGGCCTTCAACCCATCAAGTCCCCTGAACAGTTTATCCAATTCAGGGCCCTCTCTTAGTGGTCTGACAGAGTGGTTGTAAAGGCTTTGGATTTGTAGTCACTTGGTTCTAACTAGCCTGGAGCAACCTAAGTAGTGGGGAAAGAAGGAACTGATGAGGCAGAAGTTGTCAAAGATGAATAGTGTCTAAGGAATGACTTATCACATGGACGTGAAATGCCCTGTGAAATAGAGTGAATCCTGCAAAACACAGGAGAAGCCAACATCCTTCACTTGTGCCTTTGACAACTTGGGCAATTGTTAACTCCAGCCATTAAGACATTCTTTTTTTGGCAAATAATGTGGACACTGCCATTTTTTTCTAACGTATTCACTTTTTTACTTCTTTTTTAAAATATGCAGTTGGGATAATGAATCTATCCTGGTTGCACAGAGCTGGGTGCCACGAGACACAGGTATGATACTGCAATGATTGTGTTCACTGTTTATCATTTTTTAAACCCCCTTCCACATAAAAGTTGTAAAATGTCTTTTTTCCCCTTAAACAGTAATATTTGCCTCAGACGTAAAAATAAGTTTTGACAAATTTCGGAACTGCATGACAGCAACTGTAATCTCAAAAACCATTATTACGACTAATCCAGGTAAAAGGCCATCTGAAATGTTGTGTCCCTTTGGAAATGACCATGTCACACATTTCAGTGTTTGTACAATGTATTTAAGAATGAAACCAAGGGGTGCCTGGGTAGCTCAGTTGGTTGGGCGTCTGACTCTTCTTTTTTTTTTTTTTTTTTAAAGAGTTTATCTATTTGACAGAGAGAGAACAGCGAGAGAGAGAACTCAAGCAGGGGGAGTGGGAGAGGGAGAAGCAGGCTCCCCGCCAAGCAGGGAGCCCAATGCGGGGCTCCATCCCAGGACCCTGGGACCATGACCCGAGCCGAAGGCAGACGCTTAATGACTGAGCCACCCAGGCACCCGGGCGTCTGACTCTTCTTTTTGGCTCGGGTCATGGTCTCTGAGTTGTGGGTTTGGCCCCAGTCGGGCCCAGAGTCTACTTAGGATTCTCCTCCTCTCCCTCTGCCCCTCTCTCCTCACTCACACATGCATGTGTGCACACTTTTTTGCTAAAAAAAAAAAAAAAGACAAAGCTTGGATTTCATTTGAATTAAAAGTGAAAGTTGCTTTATATGCTTTACATTTATATTTCTTTTTTTTCTTTTTAAATATTTATTTATTTGACAGAGAGAGACACAGTGAGAGAGGGAACACAAGCAGGGGAAGGGAAGAAGCAGGCTTCCCGCGGAGCAGGGAGCCCGATGTGGGGCTCGATCCCAGGACCCTGGGACCATGATCTGAGCCGAAGGCAGACGCCTAACGACTGAGCCACCCAGGCGCCCCTATATTTCTTTTTTTTTTTTAGATTTTATTTATTTATCTGTCAGAGAGTGCGCACAAGCAGGGGAGCGGCAGGCAGAGGGAGAAGCAGGCTCCTTGCTGAGCAGGGAGCCTAATGCAGGACTTGATCCCAGGACTCTGGGATCCTGACCTGAGCTGAAGGCAGACGTGTAACTGAATGAGCCACCCAGGTGTCCCTTTACATTTATATTTCTTAAACTTACAGTGAGCTATATCTTTGATGTCCTTACTAAAGAAAAGAAATGTGAAAAACCAGACTCATTTTTATTTTATTTTATTTTTAAAATTTTTTATTTATTTATTTGAAAGAGAGAGAGAGAGAAATAGCAAGCACGAGCAGGGGAGAGGGGCAGAGGCAGAGGGAGAAGCCGACTCCCACTGAGCAGGGAACCCAACTCAGGACTCGATCCCAGGACCCTGGGATCATGGCCTGAGCTGAAGGCAAATGCTTAACCAACTGAGCCACCCAGGCACCCCCAGGCTCATTTTTAAAGCATCATCCCTTGTGGTGATTCTGGTGAGATCAATGTAATTGATTGGATCACCTAAATTATTGACTATTTTATTTATTTATTTTTAAAAAGATTTTATTTACTTATTTATTTGACAGAGAGAGAGACAGCAAGAGCAGGAACACAAGCAGGGGAGTGGGAGAGGGAGAAGCAGGCATCCCACTGAGCGGGGAGCCCGACGCGGGGCTTGATCCTAGGACCCTGGGACCATGATCTGAGCTGAAGGCAGACGCTTAACAACTGAGCCACCCAGGTGCCCAATTACTATTTTAAAAATAAGTAGTTTTACTATATTCAAATAACTTAGTACTGGAACACGGAGAACATACATGTCACATCATTAGTTCATATCATAACAAAATGCCCAGAAGGCCCACCAGAGTGGTTAATGAAAGGAATTATAGCTTATTCCAACATGCAGTCTGGGGAACAGGGTCTGGGGAGACGTGAGGGGTTGGTGACCTTAAATATCCTCACAGTCCTCTGTACTGCAGATAGAGAGATGAGTTCAGCACCGTGGAAGAATGCAGAATTCCCGTGGTCCTTCCCAACCTCAGGAAGATGGAACTGTAATAGTGGGTCATTTCTGACAATAGCTCCCTCTGCTGATCTCTAACAAAGCATCAACAGTGACTGATTTTTATTTTATTTTATTTTTTAAGATTTTATTTGACAGAGAGAGTGAGCAAATGAGCACGACCAGGGGAGAGGGGCAGAGGGAGAGGGAGAAGCAAGCTCCCAGCTGAGCAAGGAGCCCGACATGGCATTCGATCCCAGGACCTGAGATCATGACCTGAGCCGAAGGCAGACGCTTCACCGACTGAGCCGGCCAGGTGCCCCTACAGTGACTGAGAATTACAAAGCAATTTTATGTCTTTGGCCAAACCGTTATCAGAATTTTTTAAAGTAGCATTGCTATGAGATATGACATAAAATGACAAAGCTCTGTACTACATAAGTGCACTAGACCTTGTGCATCCACCGAACACCATGTCCCTGAAAGTGGCATCATGGAAGGTGATGTGATATGCACATGCTGTGTGCAGGGCATCGTCCTGGGGGCTAGTGACAAAACACAAATTTCTCTGCCCACATGAAGCTCACATTCTAGCAGGAGAGACACAGATGATGAACGATAAAGATAACACATCTGTGAATTATGAAATATTGAAGAAGAAAAAGAGGAACAGGGTCAGGAGAGTCCAGGGCAGAGAGAACAGGGCAGGTTGCACTTTACAGAGGGTAGTCAGGTAGGCCTCCTTGGGAAGGTGACATTTGAGCAAAGACGTGATGAGGCAGTGGGGGGTTAACCCGGGAAAGAGCACCAGGCCCTTAGTACTGAAACAGCCAGTGCAAAGGCCCAGAGGTTGGCATGTGCCTGTGTGAGGGCAGAACAGCAAGGAGGCCAGTGTGGCTGGAGCTCATGGAGCACGGGCAGGAGGAGGAGTCAAGGTCAGAGGAGAAGGGTAGGTGTCAAGAAGGCCTTATAGGCTAATGAAAGAATGTTGGCCTTTACTCTGTAGCAAAGGGTTTGGAACAGAGCAGTGGACATTTTCTAAGTACTGAAAGGATCACTCTAGCTGCTTTGTTGTAAATTGATGGTGACACAACCACAATCTATTCTCAACATTTGGGACAAGAGTGCCACTCTTCAATTCCTTTTTTTTTTTTTTGAGGGGCGTACTATGGTTTATTATTTTTAATAACTCATTAATATTAATAGTTTTGTTAGTATTATATAGAGTAATGTCAATGATTTTATTTTATTTTTTTTAAAGATTTAATTTTTTTTTTTTTAAAGATTTTATTTATTTATTTGACAGAGA